CTGGCGGTCAGTTTCAGCAGCGGCTGAATCTGGACGCCAGTTCCGACTTACATACAGATTCAACTTAAGAACAAACCTACAGTCCCTATCTTGTACGTAACCCGGGGACTGCCTGTAAATGTTTTAATTGGAATAAAATTCACTAACTCGAACTGTCCAAATGTGATCACAGACTGCAGTAGATTTGGCTCTTTGTAATGCTGGCGGTCAGTTTCAGCAGCGGCTGAATCTGGACGCCAGTTCCGACTTACATACAGATTCAACTTAAGAACAAACCTACAGTCCCTATCTTGTACGTAACCCGGGGACTGCCTGTAAATGTTTTAATTGGAATAAAATTCACTAACTCGAACTGTCCAAATGTGATCACAGACTGCAGTAGATTTGGCTCTTTGTAATGACGACCTGACTTTGGTAATTCATTTTATTTAATGGAAAACAAAAAACAGCTGTCAAAGTCAGTAAGCAGAGTAAAAATAGGCTCTCATTAAGTAACACACATTCGAAAAGAAAATTAATGAAGCTGGCAGTCCGAAGATCATGATGCTTACATTTAGTTTCTAATATAACCAACTAAAATAGTCACTAGGTCTGAGCTACAAAACTAACTTTTGAAAATATTTTTATCACCCCAAACATCAAGCAATAAAAGCAGGAAAATAGGTAAATTTCTGTTAAGATTTACATTATGTTAAATTATACCTATGCAGAATTAGATTTGGGGTCTACCAATCCAAGATTTGAATAAGTGCTTGATTTGTAGATAACCACAAAGTGGGAAGTAGTTCAAAATTAATCCAGGACTTTGGGGTCTCCTGCAGGCTGAATGCCTTGATTAAGGACTGAACAAGAGAAATCAAGGGATCTGGGTTGCAAGGAAGAAGAAATTCAAGAGTCTAGGGATCCCAACCATACACTTTGATTTTTCAGAAGGCAGAGAGCAGGAGGCATTTATAGACGCTTCAAAGGAACTGTACTGTCCTTTCCTGAGAATGATGTTGAATATGTTGCATTGGGAACTGATGCACTCAAGGGAGAAAATGGGGCATAAGTTCTCCTAGAATGCAACTTATTGTTAGTAGCCAACAATCTTCACTATCATAATTTATATTTTACATCTTCAGAGTGGTACACAGACATTAATCCTTGTGGGGGTAGATGAGCAGGCATCAACCCTGTTTTGCTCAAATTAGGAGTCTGCTTAATGCTTTTTTTCTGTAAAAAAAAAAAACCATTGCAAATATACAATGGCTAAACATGAATAAGAATAACACTGTATCAGACAGAAGAACCTGAAAGCAAGGCAAACTGTAGTTGTAAACTGAGGTGGCAAATAACTGCAGACATTATTTTGCAACTACAATGATTTGCACCTGCATTTTAGGTCATTTAGCTATCAAAGCACTATACCTGAATTGTGAGTACAAGTAGGTAATTAAGACAGCTTTGTAGGCCCATAAATAAATGTCCACTTAAGATCAGGCTCAAAGTTTGGCCCCAAGCCAGTTGCAGCAACTACTTTAAAACTCAAATTCTTGGCTCTTATTCCCATTTCATTTAACCTTGCCTGTCAAAGAAGTATTATGTCCTCTTTCCACTGTAATGTACAACACACACGAATTTCAGAACTAGCGTGTTCCTTTTTAGATTAGTATTACAGATGGTTTTAGTACTACTTCAGCCCTTGGCTAGCAGTTTGCTATAAAAACTCTTTCAATTTTTGGGACATTTAAAGAGGGCAGAATAAAAAAATATTTTCTTGCAAACCAAAGTGCCCGAGCACTTAAAATTGAAAAAATTCTGCAACTTGACATTTGATTCATTCTGTCCATAAAACACTGCCATTATTTACCTTTCAATCTGGAATCTCCTCCGAAGGCACCACATCCCCAGTTTCCTGTGGCTACTGCTGAAAGATGCTGAGGGGAAACAGCAGGTCTAGCGAAGCCACAGTATGCCTGCAGGTAGATAAAAGGCACATCAGCAGAAGAGATTTTGACACCAGTTCTGATGATCTATTCTTAAACTTATTGTTAGATAACAGGAATCTGCATTTTTATGCTGCTGTTTTTCTAATAACCTAAAATTCAGTGTAACTTCAGGCTGGCTTAAAAACAAAAGTTAACACACTAGTTTATTGGCAAATGAGCAACGATAGGCAATGGAAATATTTAAAATGAAAATTAGACAGGACAACAAAATCCTAGTAATTTCTCCACGCTAATGAGGAGTAAGGAGTCCTCTGTGCTTGAAACAGAATCCCAAGAATAGGTGAAAAACAATGTCTTTAATTCTATAAGAGCTTAAGGCACTTTATCCATTTAAATGTAACGTGTACTATAGTGAAAAGCTAGCTTGATCCACTTGACACATTTCAGGTGAAACAACTACACTATGCTACAGTTTAGCATAGAAAGGGGATACTTGTATTCAGTTGAAACTGGAGGGCATATTTTAGGTAAATAGGAAATCATTTCTTAATCTGAATGTGGCTGAGGCATTGGGATTAACCCTGCTTGAATGGAAATGCTACAGTCGCTTTAAATTACCATACTGGTCAGGGCCTACTTTTTCTGTCTCATCTGAAAGCAGTACAGCGCCATTACACACTACCTCCTTACAGGGTGGCCAGGTGTCTGGTTTTGAACCAGACAGTCCATATTTGAGCTTTCTGTTCGGGAAACAAACTGAGAAAATATAAATGAGAAAATATATAAATAAGATGTAATATAGATTGTGATGTCATGTCAAGTGTGTCCGGTATTTTTGTTGAAACCATCTGGCAACCCTACCTCCTGAACCCAGTGGTCTCCAACCTTTTTAACCATAAGATCACTCTTTCAATGTGAGTGAATGTAAGATCTATTTAAGCCAAAATATCCTTGCCCTCCTTCGTTCCCCTTGTTGGAGGCCCTGCCCCTCCTCCACCCCTTTTCTGAGGCCTCCCCCTACTCACTCCATCCCCCTTCTTCCCCCATCATCACTCACTTGCACCAGGCTGGGGTAGGGGTCCAGGCTGTGGTCTTGGGCCAAGGGGTTTGGAGTGTGGGTGGGGCTGGAGGCTTAGCCCAGGGTGGGTGATTGGGGTCCAGGAGGTGTTTGAGTACAGGGGGAGGAGGGCAGGAGGTTGGGTGTAGAAGGTTCAGGATGCAGGCTCTGGCTGGTCACCATTTAACTGAAACGGCTTCCAGGTGGTGGAACAGTGGATGTAAGGCAGGCTTACTCCTGCCCTGGCCCAGCAGCACTCCTGAAAGCAGCTGGCATGTACAGCCATGGCTCCATGTGCTGCCCCATATCTATAGGCACCAACCCCACAGTTCCTACTGGCCACGGTTCTCCATTATTGATCAATAGGAGCTGCAGGAGAGGTGTCTGCAGGCAAGGACAGCATGTGGAGACCCCCTGCTCTGCCTTTTTCAGGGGCTGCCAGGAAATCCAGCCACTTCTAGGAGCAGCAATTACCACAGGGATAATGACTCCAGTCATGGCAGGGTCGGCATTTTAGAACTCACTACTCAAAGAATTAAATTTAAATGTAAGAGAGAAATGAAAGTTACGAAATGCACAGACCAGTCAAAAACTAAAAAAGTGTGTGTTTGTAAGTAGTAACTCCTCCCAGGCATGTGTTGGGTCAGGAGATGAGAGGAAGGGCAGTGTGTGTTTGTGTGCCTCTGTCATTCTCACTGTGTGAGAGTGATAGAGATTTGCACTGCCAAGCTTCCTCCATCCCCATCTCTCTGTGTGGAGATGGGGTACAGGAGTGGGGGGAGGAGGGACACCCTGACATCAGCATCTCCCCTTCTCCCTCCCACACCCTGCACAGCAAGCAGGAGGCTCCCGGGGGGGAGGGCAGGAGCAGCACAACAATGGATCGAGGGGCAACTGAAGTGCCAGCACTTGATAGCTTCCCAGCCAAACCAGTCAGGATCACCTGTCAGAGGCTTCAAGATTTACCGGTAGATCCCAATCTACTGGTTGGTGACCACTGTCCTGAACCACATTAGGTAGAGGGCTTCCATCCTAGGTAGGTGAACCGACAGACTCGCTGGATCCATGGGCAAGGGAGGAGGGGCCTGGATCTTTGCTAGCAGAAGGGGCAGGGCCAGGGCAGCTGGCCTTCAGTGCTGCCCGGACCGTGCCCCGTCCCCCCAGGTGCCATCTGGAGTGTGCTGCTCAGTGCTCCAGCAGTGATTTAAAGAGCCTGTGCCTTGGTCACCACCACAGTAACAGCAGAGACAGCCGGGAGCCCCAGGCTCCTTTGAATCACCGGACCCCGAGGCAGCTTCTCCCACTCCCCATTGGCAGGCCTGCTCCTAAGACAGGCATTTATAGTAACCCTGTGCACCTCCTGCTCCCAAGACTCTGCATAATTGTCACCTTTCAAGAATAAAGAAGCACTTCTGGCTTTCATAAAATTAAAAAACAACAAATGGTCTGCTTCATAAAATTAAAAGTTAGACTAGTTACTGGTTTAAAATGGAAGAATCTTTTCTTACTTTGCCCCTCTCATATGCCAGTGCTGTTCAGTTAATAAAAATATTGTCCTTTTTCTTTTTTAAGGTTGTTTGTGTCTTTTGACCACCCAATTGTTTCTCATAAAGGTTTAAAATCAATTCTTACCAGTTAAACAATCAGAAGTTAAAGAACATGATCAACTTGTGATTGGCAAGTTACCACAACAATGAAAAACAAACGAAACTCATCTGAGGCAAGTAAACAGAATGACCTTACAAGACAGGGAGACAAAATTTCCCAGCACTAAATTAAATGTAATGAGACATTTTTGTGATTGCTTGTGAAGTGAAAATAGAAAGACTGATCACTGATCCATACATGGAATATTATGAGACCATTATGTAACAGCAGGACAAATCTGCTCCATGTTCTTTAAAGCCCTGAAACTGAGAATAAAATACACAAAGCCATCTTAAAATACTGGTCTTATATAATATTAAGCTAGGGGTGGTGGAAAAATAATCTCTCAGTCACTCACAAACCTTGGATAAAGAAAAATGCTTCTACAAAAGACCCAGGGGGAAAAAGGGCAAATCTCTCCATGAAATTTTTACAAAGGCATAAACATTTATTGAACATACTGTCTGGTATGGATTAGTAAACCTGTTTTTTTACCCCCCCCCCGTCTGTAAAATCTGACAGATATTTTAGTTATAATTTGTCTGTACATCATTATTCAAGATTTACAACAGAGAGCTTACACAAGAGTTCACAAATTACTTGTTCCATCAGATGCATGTTGCTTTTTAAAGTCAGAAATATTGGTGCGCTCAATGACTTAAGCAGGTTAGTGAAAAATGACAGCACCTAGCAAACCATTACATAGCTGTGTGGAAAATAAATCAGATGAAAGTACTGGATCTGTTTTGGAACAAGACAGCCATTTTGTCCCTGTATTTATTTGCTGGAAGGACTGAGATGTATTTTTGAAGTACACAGAGAAAATACATGGAAAATGCCTTTATATTCTCTCTGTATCCTATTTAACAGCAGACAGAAGAGCTCCAAAAGCAGCAAAGCTGAGAGTGCCTAGAGCAGTGTTTCTCAAGGTGGTCCATGGATCCACTCTGAGAAATCCGTGGTTCCCCTTGGCTGCAAACTGGAGCCAATGGGAGCCAGTAAAATAACAAACTGAAGCAGCCAGTTAGCAGGTTTCTTAGAGTGGATCCGCAGACCTCTTAATGCTCTACAATGATCCTTTAAAGGACCAATATAAGGGTGGAGTTGCCTTGGTCATAAAATTTCTCAAATTACTCAACAATAAGTGATAATCTGCTGGAAATTAAAAACATCAAGTTGCATCTTGATTATTAAGCTATAAAATATCACCAGGGATAGACTATTAACAACTAGCACTATTCTCAAGGGACTTATGATGATAACACCTTTAAGAAATGTAAAATCCCATTTAATTGATTAACCAGTTAAATATGATGTTTAACCGGTTAACCAATTAAAGGGCAGGTCAGACAGTGGGACTGGAGCAGCTTCCACTATCACAGGCAGCCCCCTATCCACAGCAGGCAGAAAGCTGCTCTGACAGGTTAACCCTTCACATCCCTAAGACCTTTGTACCGACTTACTATTACATTTCTTACATTGTGTATTTGCAAGTTGTACTACTGAAATCAGGCACAATGGTTGCCTTAGAATTCTAAACAGCTGATGTCAGAAAATCAGTTTTTTCAGGGATTGGTTAAATCAGGTGTACAGCTGGCTTTGAAACCAAAGAGTTATAGTCATGTTAAATGTAGTTAAACATAATATATTTGCTTTATAGCTTGTGTCTAATGAGTGGAAAAAATCCTAATCAGCAAATAAAGAAATGCTGTAAAAAAATGGGGTTTGATGATCTCCCATATTAATAATTTCAAATAATATTAATATTTTCAACACTAGGAGTAGTTGTTAATCCCAACAAACTGCCTCTTGGGAAAATTAACTGATAACTAACATCTGGCCCCACTGAAATAAGTGCAGCTTAAAAAGGAGATGCAATACTAACTTATAAGATAAGATTCTTTTGAAAAATAAAATCAGTCCATGAAATGTGTGTGAATCATTTCTAAGGCTTAATAACAGAAATATAACAGAACTACCAGAGTCAATGAATAGTGATCTCTATCCTATGATGGGATGCCATTCTTGCATAAACAGGTATTTGATTACCTAAATAAAAAAGCTGTGCCTCTGAATAAATGGTCTAATTAATTAAATCATACTATAATTAAATACTATACTATAATTAAATCATACTATATATTGGATAAGAAGAAATGGTAACACTTTTTGTTTGTTTTCCCACCGCACCCAAAATTGACTCTCTCAGTTTAAATAAACTATGACTGAAAACCAATGTAGACAAGTGATATGATGTCTTCAGAAGGCATGGTCATTTCAAATACGATTTAGTCTAGCATTGCCCCTTATACTTAAGTTTACCTTACTTAATGAAATGTAAAATGCATTTCACTCAACAGTTGGCTTAACATTATCCTCAGTTATGATTAACCAATTCATGTTGAATTGCTGCCTAAAAGGCATTCTAAACAGAAGAAAATGCATAAATCTATCCTAATATATTAAAGGATATGCATCTATCCATATGATTGATAACTTTACTCTGACCGCAAATGCATTGGAAGTAGGCGATTTAGTTTTCCAATTAAACTGTCACTGAAGTTTACTAAACTCATTTACTGCCATTTTCAGGACTTATTTCATTACCATCAGTGATGGAATAACGTGATATATGTTACTTTATACAGGAAACACTGGTTTTTAAACTACAATTAAGTCTTGATTGGAGTATATCATTTTCAGAAAAAAATTACCTTAAGTGATATCCTTTTTAGATGAAAAATTAATGAAAAGGTGGCCCTCACTTGCTTGAATTTACTTACATATATATAGTAAATTCCTGACCCTGAAAGTTGCTGAATTATTCAATTACAGGCAGTCCCCGGGTTACGTACAAGATAGGGACTGTAGGTTTGTTCTTAAGTTGAATTTGTATGTAAGTCGGAACTGGTACATATTGTAGGGGAAACTCTAGCCAAACATTTCTCCAGAGCTCAGTTTTATTCTCCCACACCTCACTTCCCTCAGGGTATTATTCTCAAGCTGAGGTGTCTGCTGAGAAAAGCCGCTCCGCGTCTCCTTGGTCTGCTGGGGGGGAGGGGGGGGTGCTAGCTTCGCGTCTCCCTGGTCTGCTGGGGGGAAGCAGCTAGTGTGGGGTTGCCTCACCCCATTTGTAAGTAGGGATCCAATGTAAGTCGGATCCATGTAACCCGGGGACTGCCTGTACCACTGATGTAAAATAGCAACAAGTTTCCCAGTACCTTTCACAGTTGGGCCTATACAGTACATGTGTAAATCTGCTAAAGATTAATTAAAAGGCATAGAAATTAATGCAAAACCTGCAACTGGAAAAGTATATCAAGACTATACAGTATCATCAGAATTCAATGTTTAGTTGGTTTCCAGATGGGGCTAGCAGCTGATCCATAATAATGCAAGAGAACTCCCTCTCCAGTTTCTGGCTGAAAATAGAAACTTAAGTTGGATACTCATTTAGATGGAAAAAAGTTAGTCTAGAGTTTGATCATCAATTAGAAACTGCCAGCAGGGAAGGGTGTTGTTAACCATCAATCTATAGAAATATGAGGCCTTTATTTATTTATTTATTTTAAATAATAAGGTAGACTTGATTCATTCTAGCTAACCAATCATAAAATACAAATTACAGGAAATACTGGTAGTGGTAACTTCTTAGTACTGGCCTTAGAATCATTAAAAAAATATTGGGAAGATTTGGACAGACCTATTAGTTTCTATTTAGAAAATTAAAAAATGTATGCCAAGACAGAAACCATTAACCAACAAGCATTCTATCTGGCATGCTTAGACTTTAATCTTACTATTGCAAAATATGAAGTATGCCTATTATGAAATGGTACAGCAATTAAACAAAATGTCCCCTTCAAAGGCGTTGCTGATGCTGCAAGAATTATTGGGAAACATATTTCCACCATTAATGAAATGGCTGTAAATAATGGACCTTAGAATTTACTGGCCTTGTTGAGTTCTCTTCTGATTTTCTCAGGAACAAACTGATCAAGGAAACGTCTGAAGTGAAATGCATCGATAGCAACAATTTCAGTGCAGCGCCTCTGCCATTCATCCCTACATTGGGAAAAGGAGGACAGCAAAACGTGTGTATCAGTTATATCTTGTCAAAGAAACAATTCTAAGAACCGAAGTATTACTCAGGCTATATAACTCATTCAGCAGGTTAACTCTTACACGGAGGAGGTAAGAGCATCACCATAGCAAGCTGTACAGTCTCAGGAAGACACTTGGTTCCTCTTTGAAAGGTTTGGAACCATAAGAGACATTACCTAAACTACCCGCTCTTTGAAAGGTTTTCTTTGGAACCATAAGAGACATTACCTAAACTACCCTGTCTGAAAGAATAGACTCTGTAGCAAATGGTCATGCCATAGAATACATGGAGCTTATCTAAAACAAAGACCCTACATGTTTTATAGCAGTTCTTAAAAACCCAATTAGTCAGATCTGTAAAAGAGAAGCTAAAAAGTGCCCAAGAGCTGCAGTTCAATGTTCAGGATAGTTTCCTTACTCCATTTTTCAAAAATAAAGGCTAAACTTAAATTGTATAATGATCTCAACTGCTCAATGCTAAATGTATTACCTTAGGGTATCATCTTCATGGCTTCTTGCCCATCGGTATGTTTCTGCATAGCCTGTATATTCACTGTATTGCTCACTACCTGAAATAAACCATTCATCATATTACACAATTTGCTGATGTTTTTCTTAATACAATGTCTCCCTCCAAGGAATCTTTACGCCTCTGAATATATGTGCAATTTATGTTAATGTTTAATGGAAGCTACACACGATCATTACAGGGCAAACTGAAAATTAATGAGAGTCTTTTCAAGAGAGGATATTAAGTGTCCAGCACAGGCAATCACAACCACAGGTCTCTCTTACCTGTGTCCACAAGTTGTAACATACATGTAGTTCTCAACCTCCCCAGTCCAGAGTGAAACTAATCAGGAAAGACACCTTGGTAAAGGCTTAGGATGCAGAGTTTGGGAGTAGAAAGTTAATTTGGGGGAAGGGAGGAGAATCAGAGGACATGAGTTAATCCAACACCAAATTTTTCCAATAAATAATCTATTTTTCCTTACCCAGATAGATTTTTTTGTTTTAGAAACAAAGAAAATCGGTTTGCAAAATTGAGTAGAGAGAAAAGCTTGAGAGATGTGTCTGGTTAGCATTGCTGTAATGCCCTGATAGCCTTATTGTAAAGGAGAGAGGCTGACATGCTTGATGTACACAGAAGAACCAGAAAAAAGGTTGCATGATCTCTGTTGTTTTTCTCTGGGATGGGCACAGAATAGTTCATTGTTCTTTCAGACAAGCAAAAACAGCTTCCTGAATTTTAGACATCTGACAAGGATTTCTAATCTATATTGGTGAAAGGTCAGAAATTCCATGCCAATCATTTCTTAAGAAGGTTTGCGTTGTTAGAAAAAAGAGTTCCTCTTTCATCTAGCAATTCAGTTCAGACATTTTTGAAATACCACGAGTCAGCAAAGCAAGGGAAATGGCAGGGAAAAGTCATAATATGACAATGTTTACATGTATATTTATACATCTAAATATTGCATATGAAAACCCAGTAGTACATAGTTCAACTCTTTAACATGACATGAATTATTAATTCATTCAAACCAGGAGCTATGTAGGCAACAGGTTCACAGATGCACAGACACTGAAACAAGTTCACACACACACACATACTGCAACAATAACATACTCCACAATTCAGAATATAATTACACTGTATTAACCACCATTCACTCCAAGACAGGAATGACAATCTTAAGGAAGGATACACAGTAAGAGGAGGGAAATGGGATTTTAAAAGAGGAGTATATTGTCACAGGGCAATTTAAATTTCTCCGAAAGAAAGCCTAAAAAATGAATGAAGGTGCAAGAGCCACTATTAAGCAGTTATTATTGCCCTGTTCCAGGCATGGTGCAGAGCTTCATAATCCCAACAGGAGTCCTGGGCATCCAGACTGTTCAGCTTAAAATCAATATGTCTGGTCTAGGGCTGTTTTACCTCAGAGACCCCTGACTGCTATTCCCACCATGTCCATAACCCCACTTGCACTCTGAAGGTCATCAACTGGCAATGCACTGGTGGAGTGTTAACAGTGTATAATGTGTCCCCATGCCTCCAGATCATGCTCCCCTTCATTTCCAGACTCTGCATCCCCTCCTACATCTCTCTTCCTGTTCAAAATCCTCTCCTGCACCCATACTCCCTCCAGGACCCTACACCAGGTCACAACTCCTTCTTTCACGCAAACTCTCTCCCAGATTCCACTCCCTGCACCTGAATACTTTACTCCAAATTCTCTTCTGCATCCAACATCCATCCTCAACCCCGCTCCTCCCCCATTAATATCAGGTAAAAGTGCATCTGGAGTGGTCCCTCATCAAAAATTATTACCCATCCCTGGGTTAAACCCATTAGACCCTCTTTTTTCCTCCCTGAAATCCTGTCTCATTGTTACCTTTCAATTTCTGCAACAAATGAGGCAGGGGTCTTCCATACCACAGCCTCCTTCATGACACAACCTTTATTCACCTTCAAAGGGTGCATGGGTGCAGGGGCGGATATAGGGCAGGGCGAACGGGGTGGCCGCCCCGGGCCCCGCGCTTCACAAAGCCCCGTGCTTGTGCTGTGGCGCCGCTGCGCATGCGCATGACGTAACTGCGCATGCGCCATGGCAAAGGTGGGGCCCCGCGGAATTACGCTGCCCGGGGCCCTGCAAAACTGTCACCTGCCCCTGCATGGGTGGTTGGTGCAGCTGGGGCCGAGGGAGGCAGGACGCCAGCCCCCACTGAGGCCCCACACCCTGCGGAGAGGAGATGCAGCAGCACACCGAGCACTTCCCAGGTTCTCTGGAGCACCGGGGAGAGGAAAAGAGAGAAGTGGAGTATGTGTGCAGTGCGGCTCCCAGAGCACTAGGGAAGGAGAGGGGGTGGTTCCAGCCTGCCCAGCTAGGAGCACGGGGAGGCTGGGTTCAGCAACAGTCCGCCCCCGGAACGCCTACAGTAGGTGCTCTGGGTGCAGAGTGTGGGTGTGACCAGGCTGGCAGTCTGGGAAGACGGAGCCACCAGACGCCCATGAAGGGGAGTATATCCTGTGTACTGGAGTTCCCCCAAGCTTGACCCCTGCTGTCCAACCCTATTCCTATCGCTTTCCTATCCCTGGCTCCTTGTCCAAGTCCCACTATCCTTTTCTATCCAGTTCCTATTCCTTGGGCTTCTCACAGTCCCTCTCTCTTTGCCTAGCCACTAGTAGTCTTCCCTTCCAGGGTCCTTTTTCAAGTCCCAATCTCTTCTCCCATGTCGCCAGTCACTTCCCCTTCCAATGTCCTGTCTCCGTGCCCCCACCATCCCAACTCCTTGTTCCCAGTCTCCTTATCCAGTCAGTACCACTCTCCCCTCTCCGTGGCTCTTCATCTGATCCATCTTCCCTTACCCTGGCTCTCAATCCCAGTCTTTTCATTCAATCTGTTTCCTTTCCCATCTATTCCCTGGCTTCTTGTCTCCCAGCTTCTTTGCCAAGTTAGTCGCAGTCCTTTCCCAACATCCATGCACTTGGTTAGATCTGTCTCTGCTCCCCCGTATTTCTTTGTTGGGTTCTTAATCCAGTCCCTTCTTTAGCCAGCCAGAAGTCTCCCGCTTCTCCCACCTCAGTGTTCCCCCACTGGTTCCCAGTCCTTCCCCCCCCCCCATTTCCACCACTGGCTATCAGTCCCAGAATCCTTGTCTAACCAGTCCCAGTGTGCCCTCCACAACTGAGCTCCTAGTCTCTCCCCCCTCTAATTTCCAGTTTCCTTCTCCTTACTCTCCCATCCCAATCTACTTCAGTCCTGTTTTTGCTTCTTTAGCATTCAATGACTTCCTTGTCTACACTGCGTGGTTGCCAGCAGTAGGTCAGTGACAGCATAGAAGAGAGAGTGCATGCATAACAAAGGAAGTCCCCTTTCTGGTTTATGTACTGATGCATTCCTTGATGAAGACACTATGGGTACAGGAGTCCCATCAACAGCCCTGGTGCAGTTAGGAAACCCATATTCTCAAAGCTATCAGTGTTCTCAGGAATATCTTTAATTCCTGCCCCCTTGGGGTAAACACATGCCTGATTACCTCAGAAACCACTGCCACCACTTCATCCACAGTTAACTTTCCAACACCAAATTGGCTGGCAATAGACCAGTAGCAGTCTAGAGTAGCCAGATTCCAGACAATCATAGTGACCTGCTTCTGGACTGGCCAGGGTAACCTCCTGTGTGTCCTTATGCTGGAGGGTTGGGGGGAAAAACCTCTGGACCTACAACTGGTCATCCCAGGTCTGCATTACAGTGTGATCCCTACAGTCTGTGCTTGTGGCCCTGTACTAGACGCAGCAGTCTACATAGGGAGCATCAGCAGTTATGCCAAGTGTACTGAGCAGTATAAGGTGCGTGAGTCTGCCATGCCAGGATATTGCCCCTCCTACATCAAGCAATCCATCAAGTATCTGTTGTGGTCTGAAAATGCTGCCAAAATGTCCACACATCCCTCGTGGAAGCTTTGCCCATTTCCTGATACATAAATGAAAGTGCAAGCAAGAGAAATTCCTCAAAAGGCATCTCCTTCCATGTTGCTGGCTCTTAGATGAGAACACACAGACTAAAAATTACTCTGTGGCAGACTGTGCTGGGCTAGTCAAACATCTTGTAAGATGCAGAATGGGCAGTAAAGTTTTCCCATAGTGCATCATGCTCAAAGGACTAGAGGCCACAATTCAGGAAGTCACGAGGCTTCTGGGATACAGGTGTACATACTGCAATGTGGATGCCAAACCTGGATTAGAAAGTCTTAATTCTGGCTGAAGAATAAGTGTAGAGGCACAGGTCTAGGTGTTTTTCCCACAGGCCAGCTAACTCAAGTCCCATTAAACCTAGGCTTACACTGACGTGTCGACATATCCTATCTACTTACCATAAGTTTTTAAGTCTCAGCTTGACAAAGCCCTGGCTGGGATGATTTAGTTGGGGTTGGTCCTGCTTTGGGCAGGGGGCTGGACTTGATGACCTTCTGAGGTCTCTTCGAGCCCTGAGATTCTATGAAAAATGCTAAGAGAATCTGGCATAGACAGAGCATTCAGTTATTCATATGCCCACAAATGCACACAGCCATACATAGCTGTGTGCAGTTTATAACATATTAAATACAAAATAAAATCTTACTTTGAAATATACAGACTAACAGCTTTCAATACAGGCTGTTCCTGACTTTCTTAAAATTCATATTTTTTGACGTGCCTGGGGAAAACGTCTGCACAATGAGAAAAGCAAATGTGAGCTATTAAGTTCTCTCTTGGTACAGCTTAAGAAATTTAAACTTTAAGAAAATGTTCCCTTTAAGTATAGCAGTTAGAAGCAAAGCCCAGGGTTATCAAAAAATGAGAAACTATACCATCTAGGATAGTTTAATCAGTGTAAAACAATTCTTTAACAAAATAAAACTAATACCTTTCATTTGCTTTTACTAAAGTACAACTTCTGACAACCAGCTCATGAAGATAAATTAATCATTAAGAGGGTCACAGAAATCACCCAAAATTTAAACTCGCATTCTAGAAATCCAGCATTGATGAAAACCATTGATTTTCATAAATGAAAGCCTGGAAAGA